CCCTGTGCTGCCATGAAAAGTCCCTGAGGAGCCAGCTGCCCCGTGCTGTGCCATGGGATGGGATTGGACACTGCCTCTTGTCTCCACACAGGGGAGGAAGCAAGGAACCCACAGCGCTCAATCCCCATTGGCATCATTGTGTCCCTCGTCATCTGCTTTGTGGCTTATTTCGGGGTCTCTGCAGCCCTGACCCTCATGGTGCCCTACTTCCTCCTGAACAAGGAGAGCCCCCTGCCTGAGGCTTTCAAGGAAGTGGGCTGGGAGCCTGCCCGCTATGCTGTTGCTGTTGGCTCGCTCTGTGCCCTCTCCACCAGGTAGGACTGGCTCCATCCCTGGCAGCACCTGGCACAGCATGGGGACTAGCAGCACATGTCCTGGCTGGGCTGGGGGTTAACCTGTCTGGCTGCTGTCCTGCTCCCAGCACTGAGCTGGTTCCATCTCCATCTGGGGATTGCCTGGCAGGCCCTGAGCCATCTCTCCCCATGGCAGCTTGCTGGGCTCCATGTTCCCCATGCCCCGTGTGATCTATGCCATGGCAGAGGATGGGCTGCTCTTCAAGTTCCTCTCCAGTATCAACAGCCGCACAAAGACACCTCTGTCAGCCACCATCACCTCTGGGCTCTTTGCGGGTAAGGCTGCTGGCTGCTGCCTCGTGCTTGGCCTTGCAGTGGTCCAGAGCCATGCTCATACTGCATGTCCTCATTGCAGCGGTGATGGCCTTCCTGCTTGACCTGAAGGACCTGGTGGAACTCATGTCGATTGGCACGCTGCTGGCCTACTCCCTGGTGGCGGTGTGTGTGCTCATTCTCCGGTGGGTGCCTACTTTCACATGGGGATACCTGAAGTGGATGTGCCTTTCATTGAGCCTGGGGCTTGTGGCCACAGGGGCCCTTTTTCCTGGGGGAATGCAGCCTGCGGAAGCATCAAGCTCCCAAAATGGAGGCTGCTCACAAGAGCCTGGAGTGTCTCTGGACACATCCATGAAGTGGCCATTGCAGGGCCACTGCTGGAGCAGCATATGGGGCTGGAGGAGCAGGAGGTGTATGAGGGTGCTGCCCACTGTCCCCGTGCACTGGGCAGTTTCTTGGGCTCCACTGCAACTTGTCCAATCTGCTCAGGTACCAGTCTGGGCAGCTGGACTCCCCAAAGGCCATTGAAATGCTGGAGCTGAATGGGAATGAGGAGGAGAGAGTCATAATGAACTCGACCAGCACCACCACTAGTGCCCAGCAGAAAGAGATTTTATCCCTGGCAAGGCTCTTCAGCCCACCTGTGGACACACCCTCTGCTCTCTCTGGGCGCATTGTCTGCTTCTGTGTCTCAGTCATTGGTGAGTGAGCAGAAGCTGGCAGCTGATGGTCCATCCTGCAAGGGGCTGGAGCATTTTGGCATGACCCTGCAGAGCCAGGAGGGGATGCTATGCAGAGGAGAGGGGCTGGGCATGCTATGCATGCTATGGAGAGGAGAGGGGCTGGGCAGCACAGGCTGCCAGCTGCTATTGGAAGCACCAGCAGGTGCTGGACCTGCTCTGCCCCGAGGAGGGTGCCAAATGAAGGGCATGGCTGGGTTTGGGGTGCATGGGGTCTGATGGAGGATGTGGGTGCTAAGCCAGGCATATGCAGGTGGTCACAGGAGCTCCCTGTGATGATCTTGGCCTAGGCTGGCTACCCGGTGGGGGTGGTGCCCAGCCCTCTGAGAGTGCCTGGGTTCAGCCAGCAGGGTTTGATCCACCCATTAATGGCTTCCTTGTGCAACTGGAATGGAGCAGCTCAGCCAGCTCTGGGTAACCATCAGAGCTGGTTTCAAGCCCAGCTGAGTGCAAGCTCCCTCTGGCTTGCTGGGCTGGTGAGTTCCATGGCAAAGTGTTTTCCTGAGGCTTTGGGGTGGATGTTGGGGACAACACATGCTGGACCCATACCTTACCGAGAGGAGTGGGCATTTCAGCCTAGCTGTTGGTGAGGCTTAGGGTTCCCTGGGGGCCACATGCCATGCAGACACCTGACTGATCCCTCTCTTGCAGCCACACTGATCGTTGTCATCTGCATGGTCCTCACCCTCAAGATGACTGCACTGAAGGATGCCAGCATAGGCTGGATTGTGACCCTGGTGCTACTTCTCATGGCTCTGCTCATTCCCACCATCATCATTTGGAGGCAGCCTCAGAGCAACATGCATTTGAACTTCAAAGTGAGTGCAGTCCTCAGCAGCTCAGCATCTGCACCCCTGCAGATGCCTGGTAGGGTCTGGGCCATTGCAAGGTCTGCCAGGGCTCGCTGCCAGGCAGTCTCCCTTTGGGAAAGCACAGAGCCCCAAGACACAGCTCTCTGAGCTGCACTCCCCAGCATGGCAGGGTTCAGGTTCTTTCTGGGCTGTGCCAGGGGTGGAATCCCTCTGTAGCCGGGAGCATCACTGAGCCCATCTGGGTCCCTCAAGCCACAGCTGACACAGGACCTCTTGTCCCTCACAGGTACCTTTCCTGCCACCTCTGCCAATCTTCAGCATCTTCATTAACATCCTGCTGATGGCACAGCTGAGTGCCAACACCTGGATGCTGTTCGCAGTCTGGATGGCCATAGGTAGGTGTCCTGTGGAGGGGAGTGTGGTGCCCACAGGGTCATCCCTGGCTGGCTGTTACACTGGCAGCCTGCCACTATGCACTACATTCCAGCAGCTGTCTTGCAGGTTTTATGGTTTACTTTGGCTATGGAATTCGGAACAGCATGGAAGGGAAAAAGGCAGAGAAACCCTGTGCCACAGTAGAAGAGCCTCTGCACCACACTGGACTGGATCTCGGCTCCAGGACTGCTGCAGTCTGAGAGTCCATGCACTGGTACTCTGTGGACCTCTGCCAGTATTCCCTCGCAGGTACAAGATTATGATCTACATAGTACATCAATCCCCCCGCTTCCAGGAGTGAATCCCAGAGCCAGGACCGCAGTGCTGGGTCATGTGCTGCCCTTTCCCCTTGAAGAGCAGAGGCCATGGAGACAAGTTCCTGGGCTAGCTGAGAGAGCTGGTGGCTCAGGGCTGGTCTCTGCCATTCCCCCAACCCTGCTGGGGGTCATTGACATTGGCATGGCCCTCCTGCTTTGTAAACTGCTGTCAGAAATGCTGCTTTCTTTGTGAATGGGAGGCCCCACGCAATGGTACAGCTGTATTTGTTCCATCTGGCCATGTGGCTGTGGTCACCACCTTTTCTCTCTGCTTTCCAAGCACTGGGCATGTACATGGCAGCCATGGCTGGAGCCATATGGCGATGCTTGGGGTGGATCGTTCTGGTACTGCCAGCAGTCCGGTACTCCTTGTCAGCATGAGGCTCAGTCAGCCAAACCCCTTTCTGTGCCTGGAATGTGCATCTCACACTGAGCACCATGCTGTACCAACTATGCTGCTTGGTGTGAGTATCTAGTTTGGGTGTCCTTGAAGAAGTCCACAGTGTAGCAGTACCAGTATCCTTGTATGCCTTTGTGTAACTTGTGTTTTAACGTTAACTTTTATACGTATTAAACTAAACGGTTTTTTAAGTGCTTGGCTCTGGTTGTCCTGCTGTATCTTGTGTTAATGCCCTGTGGTCGTGGACTCCAGGCAGGACCCCACGTGCTACTGCGCTGGATGCCAGGCTGGCATCAGCGCAGAGCACGGCTCAGTCACAGCCAGCTGTGCTGGGTGGACATCCTGCTCAAAACCTGCTGGCTGGACCCACCAGCCCTCACATTGTCCCCTGTGACAGTGAGCCAAGAACCGTGGAGCAGTGCTGGTACCTGTGGGCAGGACACTACCCATCCCATTCTTCCGGTGCTGCATGGGAGTGTGTCACCAGATGCCAGGGCAGCGGATGCATGAAGACCTTGGAAATATCTCCTGAAGGCTCCAGCAATGACCTGCAGAGGAAGTGTGGAAAGGAGCTGGGCTGCATCCATGTCAGAAGATGATTTTCCAGATTCCGGTCTGGTCCAAATCAACCCTGACATTATTTTGCAAAATAATCTAATTTAGGGCAAATGGATCTTGCATGGGTTTGGCATCTCTCCCCGTTTACTGGCAGTGGAGCAGAGTGGGGTCACTGCACGGTCAACAGTGAGGGCTACACACCATCAGCTCTCCTTGGCCTCTGGGCTGGAGCTGTGAGCCCTGCCCTAGGGCTGTGCCTCAGGCCCTTGCACCAGGCACTGCCTGCCCTTGTGCCCTGGGCTGGAGTGCCCTGCCAAAGCCTCAGGCTCCGGCCCTCAAGCACAGCTGGCTCATGGCATTGGCTCCTTGCAGGTGCTTCCAGCTCTCCCAGTCATGCTAATGCCTTGATGTGCCATGCTGGGTCCCACTGTGCCTGGTGGATATCTTCAGTCTGGAAGCAGCACATGGGGCCCTGCTGAGCCCTGAGCCTACAGTCCTAGGTGCCCATGCATCCAGGTTCAGGTGCTGTTGCCCAAGCCTAGTGGGCAGTGGGCCCGTGATATGGCTGGGGGCCCTAGCTCCCG